GTTGTATTCAATTGTTGTATGTTTGGATGATCACCAAATTCAAGCATCACCAATACCCAGATTGGTCTAGCCACTCCTTATAGAGGTTCAGTGGCATTGCAATAAAACCAATGCAACTGATAGGTTGGAAAAAAAATTGTTCTGTGAGGTTACTCCCACATATTTTGGGAAAAGACTCGCTTATATGAGAGACTTCCAAACATTATGTATTCTTGTGGAGAGTACCTAAATCTGATACTAATGGGGCCTCGAGAATGCATTTCATTTACTCCAGCTCTGGTATTTGGTCAGCTCAAATGGGGAATGACGTCGGTTAATCTAGAACACATCAAAGATACTGATATGGTACAAGGATGACGAGGGCACCAAAGACAAGTTAGATTCTATCATAAATTCTCTGAAAAAGATTCGTCTTCTAGGGCCAATAGATTTAGGAGAGCATCAAGGCTTCTATACAGATGAATACAAATTGTGGTTACTGAAAGGAGAAAATGCCAAGTAGCTCCCTCAATCGACCTACCACAAGAACCATCCGATCCATCAGAAGCTGATTTGCTAAGAGGACAACTCAAAATCATGGAAGCAAAGCTAGAAGAAGCCAGGTGGAAGAATGAGATCTATGATTTGAAATTTGAGATACTCAACAAGATCATAGTTACCTTAAAATAGGAGGGAGTCAGTCTAAAGAGAGATTATGCTCAAATGTGCTCACAGTCTGATAATTATCGCCTCATCAGGTCTATAAAAGAAAAAGATGTTCAACTAGCTGACCTCAAGGAACAGATGAAAGCTCGAGGTCGAGTCCTCAATTCTGTCATAGCTGACAAAAATGCCTTGAAGCCAAGTGTGAGAAGCTGCAGGCACTCCTCCAAGAAAGCCAACAAAACGAGAGCCAAACTTGGGCCCAAGTGAAAAAGTATCAGCTAACATTGGACAAAGCCCTACATAGAGAGGGTCGACTCAGTACCATCTTGGGTGAAACAGAAAAAGTTCATCATGACTCCCTAACGGCTGCTAATCAGAAAGAGGAGAATCTTTCAAGACAACTCTGGAACCTCCAGGAAGCATATGATGAAATGATAGCCAAACAGGAGGAATGGTCTGATAATTGGAGAGGACTAGTCCAAGAAAGTCGCGGGGAAACAGATTAGTGGAAGAATAGGTGTACACAAATGGTCGACGAACTCGAGGATTTTGCTGATGATTGGCTGAGAATGTTCTAAGGCCAAGGTTTTCATAGAATGCTTTCATGGCTGGGAGCAACTCTGTCTCTAGATGCATCTCAATTTCAACCTTGGCCTCATAGAACATTCTCAGCCAATCATCAGCAAAATCCCCGAGTTCGTCGACCATATGTGTACACCGATTCTTCCACTGATCTGTGTCCCCGCGACTTTCTTGGACTAGGCATCTCCAGTTATCGGACCATTCCTCCTTTTTGGCTATCATTTCATCATATGCTTCCTAGAGGTTCCAGGGTTGTCTTGAAATATGCTCCTCTTTTTTATTAGCAAAAGCTAGGGAGTCATGATGGACTTTTTCTGTTTCACCCAGGATGATACTAAATCGGTCCTCTGTATGCAGGGCTTGTCCAATGCTAGCTGATACTCTTTCACTTGGGCCCAAGTTTGGCTCTCGTTTTGTTGGCTTTCTTGGATGAGTGCCTGCAGCTTCTCACACTTTGCTTCAAGACATTTTTGTTAGCTATGGCAGAATTGTGGACTTGGCCTCAAGCTTTCATATGTTCCTTGAGGTCATCTAGTTGAACATCTTTTTATTTTACAGACCTGACAAGGCGATACTTATCAGACTGTGAGCATATTTGAGCATAATCTCTCTTCATATTGACTCCCTCATGTTTTAAGGTAATTATGGTCTTGTTGAGCATCTCAAAATTCAAATCATAGATCTCATTCTTCCACTTGGCTTCTTCTAGCTTTGCTTCCAAGATTTTGAGTTGTCCTCTTAGAAAATCAGCTTCTGATGGACCAGATGGTTCTTGTGGTAGGTCGATTGAGGGAGCTACTTGGCCTTTTCTCCTTTTAGTACGCCATAGTTTGTTTTCATCGGTATAGAAGGCTTGAAGCTATCCTAACTCTGTTGGCCCCAAAAGACGAATCTTTTTCAAAGCATTTCTGATAAAATCTAACTTGTCTTTGGTAGACTCATCATCCTTGTACCATATCAATATCTTTGATATTTGTTCTATATTGACCGGTGTTATCCCCTATTTGAGCTGACCGAGTACTAGAGCTGGAGTAAATGAAATGCATCCTCGAGGCCCCATTAGTATCATGTTTGGGTACTCTCCGCAAGAATACATAATGTCCGGATGTCTCTCATATAAGCAAGTCTTTGTCCCAAAATTTCTAGGAGTAAACTCACAGAACAATTTTTTCCAACCTATCAGCTGCATTGGTTTTACTGCAATGCCCCTGAAACTCTATAGGGGTGTCTAGACCAATCTGGGTATTGGTGATGCTTGAATCTGGTGATCATCAAAACATGCAACAACTGAACACAACATTAGATTTTGAAGTGACCTTTTTTAGGACACCGTTGGAGTGAAAACAAGGTTTCGGCCAAAATAGCTGGAACTGGGTTTGCATCAAAGAGCCTGAATTTTGAAAATAAATCTATAACGGCTTGGTCAACCATGTCATGGACAAAAAGAAACAAGACCATGCCATAAGTTGCCAAGGCAAATGCGGGTTTGAACAAATCCCACTTTCCTTCCTCAGCCATTTGGATAATATGTTTCTTCAAAAACTTGCACCTGAGTCCATAGGCTTGCCCTTGTTTGATGATACTGCTTGGACACGGTCGCACCTCGATTAGTTTTTCTATCAAATCTTCTGTCACATTCTGAACACCAGTAAACAGATATACTTTGGCTCTAACTGGTACTTGAATGTCCAACAACACTTCATACTCTTCAATAGTGGGTGCTGCATCTATGTTGGGAAACTCAAATACTTTCAGAGTGGGGCTCCAATACTGAACCATGACGCTCATGACCTTCAGGGCTTCTGTGTCGACTGAGATGAGTAGCATATCCATTAGTCTACCATATTCATTGTTGAACTGACTCTGAACCTTTTGAGGAATCTTAGGAATCAACTCTACCAAACAACTCACATACATGTCTTGTAACTCTACCTTCACACCTTTTTTTACCGATGAGTCACTGACTTGGCCCACTAGACGAGAAACACCCTTCATGTCTTACTATACTAGAGATGTAGAAAATGAACCTGTTTATTTAAGCACAAAATTATGATGGCGAATGCATGAATGAAGTCTGACATTATATGTAATGCAATGATATAAAATATATGGATGCATGATCATGATGCAAACAAACTAAGCGATATAGCATGTTATGGGTAAAAATGAGAATTCACCCTTTTGGTTTTGTACCCTTTTGGTGGGTACGATGGTTATGGTATGGTTTAAAGAGAAAAACCCTATATTTGTTGATATGAGAAAAATTGTCCATGGGGCTTTGAGGCTCATCGATGGGTACATGATGAATAAAAACTGTTCATAGGGTATTAGGGGCCCATGGATGGGTACATGATAAATACAAATTGTCCCTAGGGCCTCGAGACTCATCGATGGGTACATGACAACTAAATGAAAAAAGTTGTCCCTAGGGCATTGGAGGCCCATCGATGGGTACATGATAAATAAAAATTCTCTCTAGGGCTCGAGGCCCATCGATGTGTATGTGTATCGCTACTATCCTTACAGTGTAGGGTCTTGATACCCTTATTCTGTTCAAGCATGAAGTAATTTTTAAAATTAATTTCAGATGATATAATGATGTGCATGAATGAAAATGGAAAGTGGATTATGTTTTGCTTCGCGTGTCCTAAAAACAAGGTACACCTATAGGGTTTTGAGTATTCTAATGGTCACGACCCTAGGGCGAGGTACTAGGTCTGTTTAAGGTGGACTCAATACAATTTTTTTTTGGATTTCTCACCAGATTGCTTTTTATCTTTAAAAGAAAGGAAACCATATATCATAGGTTAGTTACGAGAAGAGACTAGTTCCCCAAGCGGTTAACTTACAGCATATGGAAACAATTTGGTTGGTTTATTTTGTCAATATCTCTCTATTTGGAACCTAATCTCTAATACTCGGGTATAGGGCATATGTGTGTGACTCAAGTGTACAAAGTGGGTGTGTGAGGAAGCATGTGACTCAAAAATAAATTCACCCCCCAAAAGTTGCACAAGTGAGAACACTCAAAATAATCAACTAAATTAAAAACAATAAGTAAACATATAGATAATGACGTAAGTACTAGTACAAAAAATAAAAAGGGTATAAAAAATATGCATGCAAGAAGTGGTATTAGGCCTGACTCTCTAAAAAAATCCTCGTGGAGTCGTCAACTGTCGCGCCCTGATTTTCTGTCACGTGACCTCTTAAGGAGTCGTCACCACGTCTTTTGCAGTTAAAATGTGGAAAACTCGAATTAATCCCAAATTGGATTAAATTGGTCTTTTAAACTAGAACAGTGAGTTCAGGAGTCAATTACATATCAGGGAATGTATTAGCACATCGTCTGCCCGTTACTAAATGGTACCCTAACCAATTTCATGTTTTTAATTTACCCTTACTTTATTTCTACAATTTATTAAACAAAACGTTTATTTTTTTTTATTTTTTTGTCTGACAATAATTCATCTTGCTCATATGTATCCCTTAGTGAAATAGGGAAATCAAGACTATGTGGTTCTTTAGAAAATCGTTTGTTGAATTGGTTTGATTGAGAGTTATTAAAAATTGGTCTGAATTTAATTGAAGTGAGATTAATAGACGACGAGTCAACATTGAATGCTTACTGACTTCAATAAATAGCAGATGCAATACAAGTGATCGCGACCGATTCTCGGCTCGAAGTGAGGAGAAAGATGCAATACGAGTTCTAAACTCGCTATTGAATCCCAAAAACATTTTTAATTTTAAAAATAATTAAACATTTTTTAAAGAGAAATTTTATGAATAAAAAGTTGACATTAGTTGTTAATTATTTCATTAATTCAATAAATAGCAGAAACAGTACATGTGACCACGACCGATTCTCAGCTCGAAGTAAGAATTAATGTATGATATTCATTAATTTTAGTTATAACATAGTACTCTATATAAAAAAATTATCACTTCTCTTTACATAAATAAAGAAATTTTATTAATTCACTATACATTCCAAATTTTAAATTTTAAATATTAAAAAGTTCAGAAACTCGTTAATTTTATTCGCATGACCAATAAATAAGCAATTATCATGACAATTTCTATAAGTTTAACAACTACACTACAATATGATAGTTATTTATTTAACTTATGATAACATAAGAAACAAAAATTAAAAAGAGAAAACAATATGGGCTTAAAAGCTCAACCGAAGAAAGAAAAATAAAAGACAAAACTTACATGTAAAGTACCATGGATGTAGATCTCCTGTCCTCATTGGTGTCCCCAATTATGTCTCAGATCAATCATAATCTGTTATTTAATTGAAGAAAAAAATTATAAAATCAAAATCTAATATATTATATTAGAGGGTGCAATTTTATTGGATAGGGACAGAGGAACAAGATACTTTTGGGACAGAGAATCTCTGTTAATGTTAACCGGTTGACATTAAATGTTAATATATCATCCTCTAACAAAACTGAAAAACTGAAATAAGTTTTAAATAAAATGTTAATATATCATCCTTTAAATAAGTTTTATCAAAAACAAAACTGAAAAACTGAAATGGGGGTATGAGGGGATTAGGTCTTATTCAATTTTCAGATTTCGGGGTTCTAAATTGAGATTGAGAGGAGAGACTCTCTCTTGAGCAGCGGCCACCAAGGCAGCCGCTGTTGGGCTTCGGCTGGCATCAGAGAAGAGAGCCGGAGTTTGTTGGCGGTTCAGAACACGAGGCCTTGGAACACGCGGTGGAGGCCGGCAACGGTGACGAAGCCAAGAAGAGTTCATGATAATGCAAGAATGTGATTATGCAGATGATAAAGAAAAATAGATTACGTGTAGGATTACTTATGGATGTGATGGTTATGTGGAAGTGCAAATATTTGTTATACTGTGATTGCTTGGTATGAACTATATAACATGTCTATGCTTTATGATGACAAAGGAAAAAAAAGAACAACAACACAGTGGGCAATGCATAACTAATTAAAAAACAGAGAATGGATTACCCTTTAGGTTTTACTCAGAGAATGACTAAGATGTGGAGAAAAAACTTAATCTTGGAGTCAATGGATCTGTCTCTTCTCTTATGTTACTAACTTTCCATTTAAGCACCTCTGGCCGTACACCTGTGCTCCTGGACTTCTCTCTTTCTCTGTGAAAATGGTTTGCTTTTTGATATATTGGGGGTTCAAAATAGAAAGAAATTTCGTGTGTCTTTCTCTCTTTTTCAGTGTTTTCTAGTTTCTTATGTGCTTAGTGTGTTGCATCTTTGTATCTTACTTTAAAAGCCTAAACTGACTCCTAAAACTAAGGACATGATCTCCACTATCAAAATCTGCTAAAAAAGTGGGATCACTTTCTCCCTGTCAACTGATTACAAATCAGTTTTCAAAATACTATTTTTTTTAATTTATTTATTATTTCTTTTAATTTAAATGTTAACAAACTTGGGTTGAATTTTGTGGGCCTAAAAAATGGTATTCACATTCCCTAACCAAGTCATACATTTTGTTTGTTTTAACAAATAGTGTAAATAAAAATAGTTATTGTCTTCTTTATTAATTTTTCATAATAAATATGTATATTTAATTTTTCATAATATATAGTTTAATTAGTTAATAACATGATAATATGATATACTACTATTTTAGTCGGTTTAATGATCGGCACAATTATTACATTATCATTATTAGTGTGTTGACATACATTCTCAAACATGTCAACTTGTTTTTCTATTGTTTACAATTTGTAAATGTCAACTATAGTAATTTGTGGTAAATATAGTAATTTGTAGTTGAATATATTCTATTGAGATAATTGATCATTTATTTTTTTAAAGTGTGCATAGAAATAATTGAATCACTTACATTTATTTCTGTAGATGGAGTGTATAATTAAGGAGTAACCATTGAAATAAACAGGTAAAATGAAATATTTGTCAATTGTATTCTTATTTTTTAATAATGATTGCACAAATTACTAGATATGATAAACTAACTAATGGTTTTCTTTGAAGGATTAAATTGGAAAACAATCATATTTTTAAAATAGTGTTATTGAATATTGAAGTCGTAATCTATAATCTATAATACTTAATAAAGCCAAAACTCAATGTAACCACCTCACCATGATGTAATTTATGGTTTCCGATTTTTCCCTTACTATTTTTTATTTCTACCAAAAAAAAATCATATAACTCAATGTACTTCTTCAACATACTCTACTGCTAACTTAGAGTAATTTTTACTTCCACAATTTACCCTTAAACATCAAAGTAGTTTGAACTTCTCAAAAATTGCGTGTAACTTCCTTATTAAAAATTATTTAATTAATTAATACAACTTTCATAACTAAAAACCACATAAAGCTTTCTACATGATTTCTTATCCTCTTTTAACCATTCTTACTTTTTTCACCCACAAAAAGAAATCCTCAAGAATTCTAAATTCCAACCTCTTTAGTGTTATGAATTCTTCTTTCCTCATTCAACCCATGTTTTACAATATAAATCAATGACATACAACGTTCATGGGATAAGTTATACCTTCCTCTATAATGGTAATTTAGGAACCACGACAATAACACAATTCTAATATAAATTGGGGCAATTTAAGATGTGGAAGGCGTTTCGTCCATCCTCCAACTAAAGATAAAGTGATACACTCTTTAATATATTTTTGGGTTAGTATTTTGTTGGAACTGAGACTTACATGTTTTCGTTTGCAATTTATTTTGTATTTTTGCCATGGCTTTCGATTTTTATGCCTTTACTCTAAGCTTTGAATTTTTTAATGATTTTAAAGACTAAATTTTTTTAACCTTTATGGGTGGTATATTACAAAGTTGATCAATTGTTGTGAGTATAGTAGCATTCGATTTTCTATCTTAGATATATATCCTTATTATGTTTTACCTTTATATTTATTTCTATTTCGTTGTGATTTGATATAATTTTAAACATTACTCTGAATTATTATTAAATACTAACTTTAAATTTAATTTAAATATTTAATAATTAAATTATACTAGACACTTTGAAATAAAGAATGATAATCTCTATTTTAATATATTTAATCATCAACCTTAGCCCTACATAACATACGAAAGATAGAGCAAAATAGATATTAGGAGCGCAAATATATGTTGACATACAGACGCAAAATATGAATGCGGGTTGACAAACATGATTGTGCATGTCGACACGCTAGTATCCTATTATATGTAAACCTTATATGTGTGAATGAAAAAATTAATATATTTATTTTTTTGGGAAAATGTGAGAAGTAAATAGCCTTCAAAATACTTTCAATTTTGTACTCTGTTTGAACGATTAACACAAAATTATATTAATGTGCAATTATAGATTAAAAAATATGAATGCAAGTTACCTATTTATAGATTAATGGGGTTCGACACTATTTACTGAGTACGATGTTTCTAGATTTGTCTTGAAAATGATACACAACTATCTTTTTTTAATGATAAATAAGTTATTAAAAATGAGAGAGTTAGTTTAGATATATAGATAATAAAAAATTGAAAGAATAGTTTTGTTTTGCAATCCTTGACATGTTCATGTTATATAGTATTATGCTCACATATCATGCATTTTGTGTTAGCAGGATAGAGAATATCTCAACTATGATTTTTATGTTGTCCTTCAACATAACATAAGAATCATACTTAATATTCTCTAAATCCTTGAGATTTTTTTCAGGAAAGTGTGATTATCATAAATTATAGAAGAGATTGAGTTGAGAAAAGAGATTGAGATTAAGATCGGATTGAAAAGTAGTTTTGGGTTATAAAAATCTAGTTATTATGAAGTGAAAATTAATCCATTTTGGTGATTATAATCGAAAGGTAGTTTTGGGTCAAGTGATATTGGTTTTTCTATATAGTTTAATTCTCTAATATTTTATGCACAAAATAGAGTTTTTTAACAATATATAAATGTACCTAATTAATATAGTTAAACTTCTATATGTTGTTTTTTTATATTTATTATTTACTTTTTATTAAAAAATAATTATAGTTAATATTACTCTATTAGTTATCTCTCATAGTTATTAATAGTTTAATATTAAGGATATAAATGAAAAACTAATTATTAATACTTTCTTAAATGATTTTTTCACCTCCAAAGACAAAAATAATACTAAGAATGGTTGGCGTGAATTATAAAGAAGAGAAATGTTGAGGTATATGTTAAAAAAGAGAATGAGAAAAAAATTAAAATCATCTCATAAGTGTATTTCATGATTTTAAAAAACATTTTATTTTCTTTCACTTTCTAAACACAACTCAGAAATGGATTCTTAGGGGGAAATGTGAAATTATATAAAGCATTTTGTGCACCCATATGATACTGATAAATTCATCTAATGAAAACAATAATTGTTTTCTTGTGTAAAATATTAAACAATATTTTGAAATAGGGAATTATGTAGGATACATGGATTTTAGGGACAATACTATAATTGGAACATGTATTTCTTCAACCATTGCCATTTTTTGTTTTACGGTGTAAATGCAATGAAGATTTTGAAAAAGGTTAAATAATCTAATGACCCCAAAATAATAAATCCGTGTGAAAAATATTATATTAACTCAGAAAAACAAAACAGACAGAATGGTAATAGAAGGTCTAGTTAACAAATAGGGGTGAGCAGACCCGGCCCTAGAAGGTTCTGGCTAACAAATAGGGGTGAACAGATCTGGCCCTATCCGCTCATTCGGTATGATCTAATCATAATCGAGCTTGAATATGGGCAGATCTCATCGAGTCTATGTCCCAGTTTGGGTTCAAAAATTAGACTTCATCGATATATTTAGGGTCGGGTAAGGACCAAGCATGACCTCGGCCCGTCTCATTATCACTCACTCATTATATTTATATGAGTCTCTATTCAAATGTGTACAGAGTAATGATATTTTTTTGATCGAAAGTATCACTTATTCTCTAATTTTTTCATCATATATACATGTTTAATAATATATATACATACATATATTATTTTATATGTCAAATTACATATTCACAACAATAAATAATATTTAGGACTTTATCTAAAATGAGTATACATTATATTTAATCGGGTCGGAGTCGGGTTTAAAGGCTGACCCTGTGAATATTTAGGGTCGGGTTAACTTCGGGTCTATGGCTGAGTCCTTTTTCAAAAAATGACCCGACCAACATTTAGGGTCAGGTAAGGACAAGCCTTAACTCGTCCCAACTCGGCTCACGCTCACCCTAACAAGTGTTTTAATGTCAGTGTTCACCAATTCAATAATATTATATTAGAAATCACAACTTCTAAAATTTCAACATGCTAATCAAATCACTTTTCAATGCAAGGTAGTGGTTAACAAAACAGATTGTACATAATTATAGATTATGAAGTTAAATGCTTATCATAGAATGCTTACAAATACAGCTTATGGCAATTTAATTTCTAAACAAAATTGTTTAGAAGCTTGCAAGTGGATAAGTATTAGTACACATTTTATGAGTCACATCTTCAGCCATTGCCTAAGGTGGAGTGAAACTATAGAGCAACATCAACAGCAAATTTGTGCCTATTTATAGCAATATCAATTGTGTAAGTAAAACAGCTTTATGTTTTTGCAACTATAAAATGGTAACTAAGTATTTCATCACTACTTGCAGCAATATTTTTGGACTTTAGATAAAGAAATACACTGTAATATTGGAGTATGGTAATACTCAATTGTAGAGACTTTTGATTTTACAAATGCAGGTTAGTTCACTTGTATTAATATGGTATCAGTAACTTCCTACCTTTAAGGCTTTAACAACATAATATATATTTTACCAATAAAAAAAGGACAAAATTTAGAGGATGACACGTGTACATTTTTTGTTACTTTCAAGGAAGAAACATTTATTAGATTTATATTAAAGCATTTTTTGACCTTGAAAGTAACAAAAAATGTACAAGTGTCATCCTCTAATAGGTCACTTGTACCATTAGCACTTATGGTACTTTACCTAAGTTTTCTCCATAAAAAAAACATAATACTTCTCTTGTTTTAGAGTCAAAGAATATGTTAGGGTTTCATATGTGGGCAGAGGTCAACTCAAAATATTAGTCCACTAGGTAGGAGAGCCTTCATGGCTTACTTATCCCACTAGGCTTGGCAAACTACTCAATGTATGACTATTAACATCATCGCTCCCTTTAAGGATTGATGTCCATAATAGTTTTCACTCTATCGACATTGACCAGAAAGTTTATTCCCCTACTCTGGTATTTCCCCTTAACTCACATATCAATAATAGGTATTCCCCTTAACTTGCTTTGTAACTATGTTGATTGATATTGGCAGCTCACA